AATAAGGGCAAGACCAACAGAGAACTGGATAAAGTCCAGCGACTGGCCTGCCTGGGAATAACAGGTGCTCTGAGAACGACGCCTACCAGGGCTCTTGAAGTTCTGTTAGGTCTGCCGCCTCTACACCTGTTCATACAACACGAAGCCATGAGAACTGCTTACCGACTCAACGGTGCAAACCAGTGGGTCGGAACAGAAGCAGATCAAGGCCACTCCCTCATATGGAATAAGGCAAAGGAAAACTGTCCCATCCTCATGATGAGAAGGGATAATACCTTGCCAATTCTGAACTTCAACAAAGCCCCAAACACTGTCATCCCTACGAGGGAAGAATGGAATGACACAACACCTGGCGTGCCTCCTCCGAATGAGTCAATCTGGTACACGGATGGCTCAAAATTTGGGGGCGGTTCAGGTGCAGGGGTATACAATGAAGGAACAGGGAAAGAAATTTCAGTTCCTTTGGGCGAATATGCCTCAGTGTTCCAGGCAGAAGTACTTGCAATACTCACCTGTGTCCAAGAAAACCTAATTATGAGAGGTCATAGACCAATCACTATATGCTCGGACAGCAAAGCTGCAATACTGGCTTTGCAATCCAATAGGATCTCATCCAATTTGGTGTCCGAGTGCAGAAAAGCCTTGGAAAACCTGGCAAAATCAAGAAAAGTCAGCCTCATGTGGGTTCCGGGACATTCGGGAATACCCGGAAACGAGGAGGCAGACAGACTGGCAAAGATCGGTTCAGGACGGACCCCGGTCGGACCGGAACCAATCTTGGGAATACCAAATAGCCTGGCAATGTCCTCTATAGAGGAACAGCTGCAAAAGCAATTCCTCAAAATATGGAAGGACACACCAGGAATGAGACAATCGAAGCTCCACATAAAGGAACCTTCGAAGAGGCTCGCAAAAGAGGTTTTATTCCTAAACAGGCGAAACCTTAAAATGGTAGTGGGGCTCCTAACGGGGCACAACCACCTCAATAGGCACCTAGAGCTTATTGGGATCAAGGATGACCCCCTTTGCAGATGGTGCCTGGAAGATGACGAAACGTCATCACATGTCCTCACTGAGTGTCCAGCACTGACGCATCAGAGGAAGGCTGTCCTTGGCAACATAATCTTGAGGCCAGAGGACGTAAAAGAGATTCAGCTGAGGAAGCTGCTGAACTTCTCCAAGGCAGTCGGCATACCCAGCTGAATGTTGTAACATGTGGGCGCACAATGGGCCCGAATAAGGAGGCCCACGTGCAGGGGGTTCACCCGCCCACCAGTGCTTCGAAGAAGAAGAAGAAGAAGAAGAAGATGGTCTAATTGGGGCAAAGTTGCAAATGTACCCAACTAACAATATGCCATTCAGAAATTTCCGAAATTCATTCCGAGTATTTCCGGGGTATCCGGAAGAAACTGAAACTGGAAAATTGGTTCATTTTTCTTTCTTTTTTCATTAAAGGATTCCTGGATAAATCGAAAATAAAATTTCTATAAAAACTTTGTTCAAGAAATTGATATCCATATCAACAGATTTTGGAATATCCCCATGTTAGGCGACACCTACTATTTATGCAAAAATGAATACATTTCGATACCCTTCCCCGAAAAATAGCATAGACTCGTCCAGGCGGTCGACTACGCATTCTTAACTAGAACCGCGTAGGCTAGTTTAACGTGCTAATCCTTCATCTTTTTCTACAAATATTATTGTGTTAACGATCGTTCAATGTATAATATATAACATCAGAAGTGAGATAAAAGGCCCAGCCCATTGTGTGTGTTTACAACATTTAGTACTTCGTTTAAGTACTTTGTACAATTTAGCTTTCGTGATGAACGAGTCAAATAATCTGCCGAGTGTTGAATCGACTTTGGAGAGTTTATTGCGAAATCTTTTGGAACGTGCTGATTCAAATACAAGTGATGCAGCGCAGTTGCCGGCGTTAACAAACATGCCCACTGTGTTGCCGAAGTTTTTACCTGACAAGGATACTCCGGAACAATGGATACAGGAAATTTCCGGATTATCGCAGGAGCTGGGATGGACATGCACTATTATGAGCCATATTGCTTCGAGGGTGAGGCAGGTGAGTGGTTTGATTGTTGTTGTCCTACAGACCGTCGTTCGTGGGCTAGTTTAAATGTTGACCTGATAGAAAGTTTTGCTGGTTCAGTAAATTTTGGCAAGCTAATGCACGAAGCAATCACTTCTGATACCGAGGGTTGTTCAACATATGGACAATATGGCCTCCAAGAAATTAATAATTTGAAAATTAATTCATCACAGCAACAAATAGTGAGTCTGATTTGTTTCGGAATCAAGGATAACACTCTTAAAGCACAAATAATGCAGGCTGGTCATTTGTCCGTAACTTCTTTAATAGGCCATTTGTCACGCCTAGAATTAAAAACCAACTCCAATAAACTAAACTTTAAAAATATTTCGACTTTAGTAAACAGTCGTCTTGGAAGGCTGAGCACGAATAGTAACACTGATATAAAATGCTTCAACTGTGGTCAACTAGGCCACCTCAAGTTTCTTTGTCCTAACAAGCAGAGTACATCAGGTATAAAACGCAAAAGAATTGAAAATCCAACAATTAAAACATGTGATTTTTGAAAAAAGCTTGGACACACTGAAGACCAGTGCTTTGCAAAGAAAAGACGTAGGAACTTTTCAAAACAGGTTAACATTTGTCATTCCCCTGTAGATGACGATAACGTGGATTTGAATTTATATTCTCTTTGTATAGATGGTAACTTCTATAAGGTTTTACTAGACACAGGTTCCCAGGTATCATTGGTCCGAGAAAAAATTACACAAAACATGGTATTTGCTCCTCAATTGGAAGAAATGATAAAAAAGGGTATTGGAAAAGGGACTTATACCTCGAAATATTCCATCAACGTAACTATTCAACTTAATGAATCAAACTTTTCACTTAAAATGCTTATAGTTCATGACCAATGTATCCCTTGTAACGCTATAATTGGATTAGATTTTATTAGTATGCCTGGCATGATTTTAAAATATATTGAGAATGTCCCCATCTTAGACACTCTTACTACAAAGGAAGAAACCGATTTGGAAAATTTATTGAATGAATTCGAAGATATCACCACTAGCGGTAACAGGGCCCTTTCGTTAATAACTACCGGTGAATTAAAAATTAGGTTAACCGAAGATAAGTAAAATTAAATTTCGTCCATATAGATTTTCAGCTTCAGAAAGGGAGACTGTTCGTGAAATCATTGATGACTTGATTAAAAATAAAATAATCCGACCTTCCTGTTCCCCATACGCAAGCCCCGCTTTGTTAAAAAGAAAACGATTAGTTTGTGACTTTAGAGCTCTGGATAAAATAACAGTTAGAGATCGTTTTCCCCTTCCTCGAATTGATGATCATATTGATCGTCTGAGTAACGGTAGATTCTTCACAACTCTTGATATGACTGCCGGATTCCACCAAATAAAGGTACACCCCGATTCAATAGAAAAATTAGCCTTCATAACTCCTGATGGTCAATATGAGTACCTCCGTATGCCCTTTGGTCTGGCAAATGCTCCTTCTATTTTTCAGCGTTCAATAAATATTGCCTTGAAGGACGAAATTCAAAAGAGGATCGCCTTAATATACAATTCAGAACTGGAGGGTCTTCAAAGGTTACGCATAGTGTTAACAACCCTAAGGCGCTATGAATTCTCAGTAAACTTAAAAAAATGCAAGTTTTTGAAGCTAGAAGTAGAGTATCTGGGTCGTCTGATTTCAAGGGGTACGGTTGAACCAAGCCCATCAAAGGTAGAAGTTTTGAAAAATATGACACCACCAACCAATGTTCGGGAAATTCGACAATTTCTTGGGCTGGCTGGGTATTTCAGGAAGTGTATAACTGAGTTTTCGGTGAGGACGCGAATTTTGTCAAACTTGTTGAAAAGAGATGCAGTTTTCTTTTGGTCTGAACAACATCATAATACTTTTAAAGATGTCATAAATATTCTGTCAGCTGAACCTGTCCTAGCTATATTTAATCCTGATTTACCTTTGGAACTCCACACAGACGCCAGCAGTCGGGGTTTTGGTGCTATCATTATTCAAATTCATGATGGCCTAAAAAGGGTAGTGGCTTATTACAGCAAGGCAACAAATGATGCAGAATCTCGTTATCATTCGTATGAGCTCGAGACATTGGCGGTTGTGTATGCTCTAAAGCATTTCAGACATTATTTCATTGGTGTCCCTTTTAAATTGGCCACTGACTGTAATGCATTGGAAAGCTCCCAGCATAAACGAGATTTGTTACCCCGTGATAGTAGGTGGTGGGTTTATCTACAAGATTTTTGTTTTAATATTGAACATAAAGCTGGGCATCAAATGGCATATATAGACTACTTGAGTCGCAACCCCCCTGCTTCTACTGATCTACCTAATTCCGCAGTAGTAAGGTGTGTCGATGTGACTTCTGCGGAACAGGAGCTCGATGAGCTGGACTTAGTTGATCAAAATCGTATGCCTTCAGGTTGGTTATTTGTGCAACAAAGTGCAGATAGTGAAACAATTGAATTGAAAGAAAAGCTTGAAAAGGGTGAAATAGATAAAAACCAGTTTTGCATTATCGGTAATACTCTTTGTCACTTAAGCACAATAAATTCCGAAAAGATCACCCAGTATTTTGTACCTAAGAATTCAAGGTTTGCATTACTTAACACGTTCGCTGCTGAAGGGCGCGCAGCGCGTCGACAGTGTTAATACGCATATGCTGCTGGCGCACCAGGCGCGTCTAGTACGCTTCCTAAGGGTGTGGTTCGTCGTGCGATCAAGATAAAGTTTCTAAATTTCGTGTGTGTCTTGAGCAGTGTATATATCATCTATTTTCACCCCTGGTTCGACTTCATAGACTTCATATATCTATAGTGATTGTGAAGCGGGCCCCTCTGAACCAAAGCGTTCAAAAAGCAACTATAAACTCACTCTAAGAAAGTTTTTAACAGAAGAAGAAGAACACATGCTTTTCAACTCTGATGACGATCTGGAAGATCCAACTTTTATCGATCAGGTAGATCAAACTGATCCGAGTTCTTCAGATGACTCTGATGGTTATTTGAACGAGTCCATCAGATCTGTATCAAGGTCCACATCTACGATTCATGATAAGCAGCATGATACAATAACTGTGACAGCTCAACCCCAACAAAATGACGCAGTTCAACCCCCTTTCAATCCTGGAGTTGATAATCTATTTGTGGAATGGAACAGAGAAAATGTTTTGAGAGAATTTCCATTCACAAAAATCAACGAACTCTTGGTTCCTACTTCAGGTGAGTGTATACCGAATAGGTGGAATACTCATCACATTATGTATCTGAACAATGAATCACCGAAATTTTGAGATGATAAATGATAATTCAAAATTACCATGTGTTCAAAAAAAGTCCTAATTCTTCAGACGATGATCATGGAATGTGAAGGAATAAGACTCATCAGAAGAATTGATTTGATATTTACAAGATTCTTTTCTTACAGGAGAATCTTCGATGGATTTTTTCGATTTGATGTTTGATGATGAATTCTACGACCTGATAATCGAGGAAACAAATCGATACGCAGTGGAAATTCTTATGAGTAAGGAAGAAGAACATTCAAGAATCAGTAAATGGAAGCCTGTTACCAAAGAAGAATTGAAAATATTCATCGGACTTTTTTTCCATATGGGGACTATCAATTTGCCACGCATCCAAGATTATTGGAAAACCGATAGACTTTCCAATTTCCACTGCTTTTCGGATTACATGAGTAGGGATAGATTTTTGATAATTTTAAGATGCCTACATTTTTCACCAAATCCAAGAGAGGAAAAAAAAAACCAGCTGATAGGCTATTCAAAATCAGGCCCGTATAGTTGATTATTTCAATTCAAAAATGAACCATATATACTATCCTGACAAGAATTTAGCCATAGATGAATCAATGGTTCTTTGGCGGGGAAGGTTGCAATTTAGACAGTACATTCAAAATAAACGCCATAAATATGGAATAAAACTGTATATGCTAACAGAACCAAATGGCATCATATTGAAGTTCTCTGTCTACACAGGAGCTCTTGACGATCAAGGAGGCAAGGGTCATGCTGCAAAGGTTGTCCTGAATTTGATGGAAGGTGAATTGAATGTTGGTCATTCATTATTCATGGATAATTTTCACAATACTTATGATTTATCTCTGAATCTTCTTTCGAAAAACACATATAGTACAGGAACTTTACGCATCGATCGTAAAAATAGTCCTCCTGAAGTTAATTCCTCCAAGTTGGAAAAAGGAGAGACAATTGCTCGCTACTCGAATGGTGTCATGATTGGAAGGTGGCATGATAAGAGAGACGTGAATTATATCTCTACAGAATTTCCTAACGATTTCACCCAATATCAAGATAAGAGAGGAAATGATAAATCAAAACCATTGCCGATCATCCATTATAATAAATCTATGGGGGTGTCGATAGACAGAACCAATTCATGGCATATTATCCGTGTGTAAGAAAAACCATTCGATGGTATAAAAAGATTGGTTTGCACATTATGCAATTATTATTCCTGAATTCATACTTGTTGTATAAAAAATTTCATGCACATCGCAAGTCATTTCATGACTTCAGGTTAGATATTATAAGAAATCTTTTACCAGCAGGAATGCAAAAACCTAGGTCGATGTATATGGTTCTGCACCATTTTGCAAGTCATTGTCCCAAATCGGCAGTTGGAAAAAAAACTCTCAGAAAAAAATGTAGGAATTGCTCCTCCGAGGGTAAAAGGAAAGATTCTGTGTATGAATGTGAAACATGTAACGTAGGACTCTGCCTCGAGCCGTGTTTCCAGAAATACCACGAAAACCTAAGAAATGAATGATTTTATAATATGTTTGAGCATCGAAAGTGAATATGAGTTGTTAATATGTTTCATAATAAAGGAGTTTTTAGAATCTTCTGTAGTAGTCCATGCTCAAAGTGGAGTGGAATGATCAATAGAGAAAAAAAACCCAAAGTCGTCTCCACAATATTTAATTTATAATCTGGCAGTCAATCCTGCTTCATTAAGGTTGATACATGTTTCGGCCATTCAAATGGCCATCTTCAGTCAAAAGAATACAACAAAGTGCATCTACAATAGAAAACATGATTTTATATATAAGAAAAATTGAAACAATTGTAAATTCAAATTGAATTGATTAACAAATTTCAGTCAAATCAAAGAGCAACAGTGATTTTTATGAGTATACAATGATAATTGATCGATAATAGAGAATAAAAGTGAAAAACAAAATTTTTGTCAAATCAAAATTCTGAAAAACAAAATGGAGAACCATAGGTAAGAAGGTTGTACTCACGTGGAAATACTTCAATGCATCATGAAGGCGAAAAAATTATGTTGTTATTACTAAATCATTATTTATTATTTAAATTTGATGAAATGGATGTATGAGGAATTGGGAGGAAGGCAAAAAGCCCAATCCCCCAAGAGGAAAGTTGAATACTTCATAGGACGCTGAAGAAGCTCTGTGTAACTTGATCATTATTGAAACAATGGAAGGCAAAAGCGCTGTCGAAAGTGAAAATAGAACCTGTTGAAGAGTAAAGGAAAGAAGAAAACTGTAAAGTGATTACTGAAAGGAAACCTGTAATGTCCAGTAAGTTGTAAGGGAATTGTGAGACAGCAGACAGATGGCGTGCTGTGTCTGAAAAATTCAATTTTAATTTTGGAATGTGTAGATTAGTGGGAGAAATACTGGAAAGATTGTAAATAATCAAGAATCAACAAAATTCAATGAGTTGAAAAAGGGAATACAATCAAATTGAATTGGGTCATTCAAGCATATGATATCAGGATTATTGAGTAATTTATTGATTTCAAAGATTTCCAGAATATTAAGTTTTCTGCTTTTTGAACAAACATGTAACAAGTGAGAATCAATTTCTGCATTAAATGAATGTTTGGAATTGAAAACATGATTAGCAAAGGAACTTTGGGAATTAATATCATCAGGCCAGTTAGAATTTTGAAATTTATTGATGATTTTTGAATGCTCAGAAACTCTTTGTGAAAACCTCCTCCCGGTTTGACCAACATAACTCGCAGAACAGCCAGGGTGAGAACAACATAACTGGTAGACACCTGATTTGTCGGAAATAGGAATAGAGTCTTTGGTATTATTGATATGTTTTTTCAAATTGTTAATGGTTTTAAAACAAATAGTGACATTATTGGTGAACCTATGGAAAATGTTTTTAATATCAGTGGAAACCTTTCCTAGAAAAGGAATTGCAAAGAAATAATCCTTAGAAATTCAATAATGATCAAGTTACACAGAGCTTCTTCAGCGTCCTATGAAGTATTCAACTTTCCTCTTGGGGGATTGGGCTTTTTGCCTTCCTCCCAATTCCTCATACATCCATTTTATCAAATTTAAATAATAAATAATGATTTAGTAATAACAAAATAATTTTTTCGCCTTCATGATGCATTGAAGTATTTCCACGTGAGTACAACCTTCTTACCTATGGTTCTCCATTTTGTTTTTCAGAATTTTGATTTTGACAAAAATTTTGTTTTTCACTTTTATTCTTTATTATCGATCAATTATCATTGTATACTCATAAAAATCACTGTTGCTCTTTGATTTAACTGAAATTTGTTGATCAATTCAATTTGAATTTACAATTGTTTCAATTTTTCTTATATATTAAATCATGTTTTCTATTGTAGATGCACTTTGTTGTATTATTTTGACTGAAGATGGCCATTTGAATGGCCGAAACATGTATCAACCTTAATGAAGCACGATTGACTGCCAGATTATAAATTAAATATTGTGGAGACGACTTTGGGTTTTTTTCTCTATTGATCATTCCACTCCACTTTTGAGCATGGACTACTACAGAAGATTCTTCAACGCTAGTCGAGCAACCTTAGTCCGCCAGTACCACAAAGTGTTTCTACAGAGGAAACTGACTTCACTGGACATCTGGTTCAACAATGAATGTATTCGCAAATCCCTCACCCCCAGATATATTTCACTACGTTCGAGGCACAGTAATCTCTCCTCTACAAGAGCGATCACAGCAGCACAACGTGTTTGGATGAAGTCTGAGGTAAGAAGGTTGTACTCAAAACTAAATGAAATCAATCTCAAATTAAAATGGCTATATTTTCAAATAAATTCACTCATCCACTTCTCAGAATGGATATCCTTTGATAACCGTCTCAGATCCTATGTTGAAGACCAAGGAAAGATAAAATATAATTCTCTTAATAATAAACTCTCCCGTTTGAAACATGAAAAAGGAACCAGGCTTTCTACTCAAAAAACTAAACATAATTTTTCTAACCACAAATTTCACAGCAGAGTTCTCAATTCATCTAATACTAATTTCAATGAAGATGAAATGTCTTTACTCAATCAAGGCTTAAAATATAATGTTGACTTTCCTAGAACTAAACAAGATTTCAGTATGCTGGCAATTGAATGTGAAAGAGTGATTGAAAGCATGATTTGTGAAAATAAAGACTTGTTACGTAGCCAAATTTCCCTTACCCTAAACAACAATTTTTCTGTCAGACCCAACCTCTCATTTAATCATAAAAAGACTGACAGATTATTGCTTAAATCAATAAAATCCAAAATTTCCTCCAATGATCTTGTTTTAACCAAAGCTGACAAAGGCAATTGTCTAGTTATACTTGATAAAATTTCCTATATAGATAAAGTGCTCAATTTTTTGGAAACTGATGAATTTTCCAAAATCAACAATAATCCAACTCAGAAATATTTTTCTTACACTAAATCAGTCATCAACAATTCAATAGATACTATTAATTTTTATGGTTCTTCTGAATTCAATTTGATTCCAATGAATCCTTCTACCCCTCTGCTTTATGGTTTACCCAAAATTCATAAAACTTCTATTCCAATCAGACCTGTTGTATCTTATATAAATTCCCCTACTGCTAAACTTGCTTTTTGGTTAAATAGATTATTGAAGAATATTTTGAACTTTGAAAATCCTGTCTCTTTGAAAAACTCCTCTGATTTGGTCAATAGAATCTCTGGTTTATCTCTGCCAGAAAACTCTATTCTGGTGTCATTTGATATTGTAAATCTTTTTCCTAGTATCCCTGGCAAAGATTGTGTCAGAGTTGTTCGCAATTTACTTTTTGAAAATGATGTCAATTTCCACCATTGTCTTAACATTTGTTTCCTTGTCGACACAGTCCTTAAACAGAATTTTTTCCAATTCAATAATGAATATTATAGACAAAACAGTGGC